GGGAGGATGCCAGGAGCTGCTGGTGATACCTAGGGTGGTGTCCCTTGAGTGTGGCCGGGGCGCATAGGAGCCGGGGTTGGAGGACTTGATGGAACTGGCTCAGGGCAGACTGGGGAGGTGGCCAGACAGTGGAGGAGGGATCTGAGATCTGGCACTGCCCCATCATCCTGCTGAGGGTGGGGAGGGTGGAGGCCAGAGTTCGAGGCACGTCCCCAGAGGCCTTCAGCAGGACCACCCGCTCTGGCTGCTGCCCTCCCTGCCCTCCAGCCTGGGAGCTGCCTGATTTCCCCTGCAGCACATCCCGCCCCTGCTGTTCTGTTCGCTGGGCATTTGCTTGTTTGAAGTCATCCCCTCCCGCCCCCAGTAGGCGGTTAAAGCACTAGGCCACGAGAGAGGGCACTTCCTGCCTTGGAGCACTTTCTGCGATAGACGCAGCAGGAGGCTGGAACCCAGAAAGGGCTGGCTTCCCTCTGGGCCATTCCCCCAGGGACTCGGCCCTGCCCGGGGCTCCACTCACTGTCAGGGGAGCAGCACGCAAAGGGCTCGCGGGAGCCTGACGTCAGGGAGCAGGTGCGGGGCGCAGGTGCAGGGAGGGCGAGACCCTGAGCGGCCCTTGGAGCTGGCACCCGGGAGCACTCCGTAGGTATTTGCGGAATGGATGAGCAGAGGCCGGAGGGAAATCAGGCGAGCTTTTTCTTCAAGACGGGAGAGGCCCGATCACGGGGACAGGTGGAGAGACATGGTCTCAGGGAGAGAACTCGGGGCGCTCTTGGGGGTGCGGAGCTGACAGTGCAGGTTCCCAGAGAAGGTGGAGGGCTGGGCTCTAGGGCAGGGCGCACCGACCTCCGTGGTGATCTGAGGGAAAGGAGAGAGGTTCTCGAGGTCGGCGCGGCGGTTCGGCGGCAAACGGTGGAGGGAGGGCGCATTGATGGTTTCCGTTTCCTGTGAAAGACGGGGAGCTGCCCGCTGGAAGTGTCAGGGCAAGACTGGAGGTTTGAGCAGTCAGCTGGCCGCAGAGCCAGAGGCAGACAGACATCGCTGTGTCACGTCAGGCTGCCGGGCAGGCAGGGCCCGCCGGAAGGTGCCGATGGCCTGAGCACCTGGCTGGGAGCCCCCCGTCCTGCTGTCGGACCGCCCAGAGGAAGAGGACGGCAGGCTGGAGTCGCAGTGGGATTTTGCCAGATGGGTGCGGCGGGAGGGGGATTCCAAAGGCCCTCCTGAGTCGGCGTGGCGTGGGAGTTCCGCAGAACAGAAGGGAGGAGGAGGACCGGGGCGGCTGGCTAAGGGGACCCAGAGGCCGCGGTGCAGCCAGGACACGAGCAGTTGAATCAGCACGGCCACCGTCGGGGGCCGGCAGCTGCCGCTTGAAGTTTGGACGTGGGCTGATTCCGGGTGGTGAGAGTGGCCTGGCTCACTGAGTGCACTGGAGGGCAGAGGTCACGGGGACTAGGGGGCGAGGCACAGGGAGGCCGGGCTGTCCGGGTGGATGCTGAAAGCATCCAACACTCTGCCGGGATGCAGGGTGGGACCTGTGATCAGGGGTCCCGAGTGGGAGACGATGACCAGAGAGCAGTAGGTGACAGGAGTGGGGAGGGCAGGGGTGGCCGTTGACGCATGAGTCTGCCAGTCAGGGGAGGGGACTGGGTCAGGCGTAGGGCGCCCGGGAAGGTGGGGTGACGATCCCACTCAGGAGAGTCGCTGGACACCTGTTGCCTGTGTTCGCCGTCGGCTCACCTTCAGCTCTTTACGCTGAGCTCAAGACCGGTCTTTGCTCGTGGGTTGAGTATTCCGTATTTACGAACAGAAATAACTCGTTTTGGTTTCGGTTTTAAGATCACCCCGTGGAAATGGTAATAGGGGGAGACGCCTCCTGTTGTGCAAATAGCTGAGCCGACAGGAGAGCAACAGTGGGGTGAGTTAAACTTGTAGAGAAAGTGCAAACGACACGCGCCCGCATCACGGTGTCCTCACCCTGACCGTTCGGAAGTCGGGCTCACGGAGGACCCTGCCCTGCACGTGTCGTGGGCCGCCTCCCGTGTCGTGCTCCACCTCTGGGCTTTGTTGTGCTCTGTGTAGCAGGGACACTGTTGGCGGGCGCCCTTCTGGTCCCATGAGGTTCGGATGTTTTCACGGCCGGTCTAGCCTGCACGTACAGTGGAGCGATTCTGTGAACAGGGGACGTTGCTGGAAGCAAGAATGGGAATTAAAGCAAATTTTTGAAAAAACATTTCTTAAATGTGTTAAAAAGTGATGTGTGTTACATTTACAATCTTTATTTAGTTATTTTTATCTACTTTTCATGCTGCATAAGGACTCCCAGACTAACCTGTCGAGGTAAGGAATGTAGCCAAAGGTATTTTGAGCTTTCGCATATAAAATTTTCTGGTTTTGCTTCATTATTCTCGAGAATACATACTAAGCGTGTCTCATTTTTGAGTATATACGGTAACGGTAACGTAAGTCAGAAATGACATGTTGATACATGAGTTCTCAAGATCTGTTTCTAGTTTCTTGAGGCAGCCGCTTTTGTCCCGCCCCAGCCTCACTGGGACAGAAGTTGCAAGAGTGTGTTGCCCCGCCCCCCCCATCAGTGTGTCAGGAGCGGGGTCACTGCCGCTCTCTTCCCTCACCGTTTGGTCAGAATTTGCACAGCATACAGGAATGCTCTTGCTCTAGCATAAATGATCTTTCCAGTAATGTGTTTTTAATAATGGGTGAGGGCTTTCCTGAGTTGGTTTTAAGTGAACTTTTATAACGCATGGAAATGATCACCCCTGCTGGCTGCCCAGGTCCCCGTCGCGGGGCGGGTGTACCCATCTCCCAGCAGCTCACCCTGGATGTCCTGCAGTCACCCCACTTTGCCCACAGCCAGGGACCGGCTGACGGGAGGTGGGTTCCGGAAGGCTGGCCCCCTGCCTCGAGGCAGAAGTGACACTGAGGTGCGGGGTGACACTGCAGGCCGGGGTTGAACTCCAGCCGACGCCACATCAGGTCCCCCTTCCCCATCCAGCCCCCCGACTTTCTACAGGGTTTCTCCTGAGAGCAGTTCGTGTTCCAGATCCCTGTCTCAGGCTCTGCATCAGGGAGCCTGCTGTATGCGACCTCCGGCGGGGATGCGGGGAGGCGGTGATCCCTGCGTGCCGGGACCGTCTCCGCATCATCAGTCCACAGTCCGCTTGTCTTGTTTCTTTAAGCACTGAGTATTTTATAACACGCATCATACGCTGTGTCCACTGGTTCACGTCCATGTGTGCCTGGCGTCCCGCCCAGGTAAGGCCCTGGAGAACCAGGAGCCCAGGGCTGCTGTCACAGCTGCTCTCACACCTGGGCAGGGCTCCCGGCTTCTCAGGACCATGTGAGTCCCAGGTCATGTTCACATCTCCCTTGGCAGCCGTGGACTGTGGCTCTTCTCCAAGGCCCGACCATGTGCAGCATAAGACCGATTCCCCATATGGGTTAAAATGAAACTGGGCCATAATTCAGCATAAAGAATCAGATTGGTTCATGGCAGGTTAAGAACGTGTTCTGATCTCCCTTCCTCTTTAAGGTCCTGGATGCCTCGTCCCTTAGTTTCAACACCAGGTTGAAGTGGTTTGCGATCTGCTTCGTGTGCGGCATTCTCTTCTCTATCCTTGTGAGTTAAAGCTTCGTGTTGCCCGATCGCTTTTACTTTTTGTCAGACCGATGACCCCGTGTAGTGGCAGCGAGCAGCCTGTAGTCGATCGCAGTGAGTCTGTTTCCACGGGATGTATGTCGCCTGAGATAGGGGCGAGGAGATCAGGACGGGGAGGCGTTCACATTTCATGGGGTTTAGGGGCTGTGAAAATAATTAAAAAAAAATTTTTTTTTTTAATGTTGATTTATTTTTGAGACAGAGAGAGACAGAGCATGAACGGGGGAGGGGCAGAGAGCGAGGGAGACACAGAATCCCAAACAGGCTCCAGGCTCGGGGCTGTCAGCACAGAGCCTGACACGGGGCTCAGACTCACAAACCGTGACACCATGACCTGAGTTGAAGGTGGACGCTCAACCGACTGAGCCCCCCGGGCACCCCGAAAATCATTTTTTTTTAAGAAAACCCCATGTGTGTAAAGAGCTGTAGGGTTAGGAATCGAGATGCCTTAACTACTTTGTTTAACTTGCCGTTTACCAGGCCTGTTGACGTAAGAGTGAGGTTGACTCACATGCGCAGGGGAGGTTGTGTTACCGCTAAGTTGTGCGCACCGACCCGCAAAACAGGCAGAAGGCTGAGTCGATGACAAGGAAAGTTAACTGCCTTTTTAAAGCTGCGAAAAGTCTGCATTGGTGCATTTATGCTTAAACTGCGTATTATGTAACGATCATACGTAGCGCGTTTGTGTTTCAAGCTGTCCCGGTGGTGTCATGATTTTAAAATCTGTCTTAACTCAGGGTACTGGATTACTGTGGCTTCCCGGGGGCGTCAAGCTTTTCGCAGTGTTTTACACGCTCGGAAACATCGCCGCGCTGGCCAGGTACGTGTAGAAGCCGGGCTCTTCGGGTCGTTTGGGTTGCTGTTGCCATCGCAGTCTTCCTTCCCGGTGAGCACTTCCTGCTAGGGTCTTCTTCTGTAGCTGCACAGTTGATGTTCGCGCAGGAAACGTTTATCGTTCCCTGCCGTGGGCCAGCGGCGCGGCGGAGTGGGGCGGGCAGGGGGAGCCAGCATTTGGGGCACTTGCCGGGTGTTTCTCTCCGTTACCCCAGTGTGTGATCCTTGGAGCTGGGTGAGTCCCTACCCCGGGGGTGTGCCCAGTGAGGTGACCAGGCGCACTTCCCACCAGACCGTCCTCCGGAGCCCCGCTCCCTGCTTGTGAAGCCTCGTCTTAGTGAGAGAAAGGACCGGCCCTCCAGCCGACCAGCCCGAAGATCCGGCCTTAATGGTGGCGAGCACCAGCGAGCCCAGTGGCATTTCGGATCGGGCTTTCGCAAATTCCTGTCTGAGGATCTTTGGTGCATGTTTGGGTGTTTGGAGGTCTGTTGAAGTAGGTGTCAGAGGCAGGAGTTAGCTTTCCCAGGTGACCTTCTGTCTCCTCCGGAACTTTCTGGATCAGAGGTAGTCCTGTGAAGCTGTGTGAGCTGAGGCCAAGCTCAGCCCGCTTTCCTGGGCTTGTGCCTGCAGGCCTTCCCTTCCAGGCTCCGGTGTGAGCAGAGCCCAGCTCAGCACGTGTATGTGTTGCCGCTGTCCGGGGCTTTAAACGGACCTGTGTCCGGAGGGCATCGTTCATCGCTCTGGCCCGTCACGGGCGGAGATGAGGAAGGGTAGTGACTGAGTTGGCACAGATTGGAAGCAGGTCACCTGTGAGTTCAGGATCCCTCCGACCACCAGTAATGTGTAAAAAGGCATTTATGTGGGTCATAGGAAACTAGATTAAAGTTTCCTTTTGGGGCGCCTGGCTGGCTCAGTCCGTAGAGCACGTGACTCTTGATCTCGGAGTCATGAGTTCACGCCCCACGTTGGGCCTAGAGCTTACTTAAATAAACAAGTTTTAAAAAAAACAAAGGTTTCCTTTTAATATTAAAGGAAAATATAAGTGATTTAGTGAGAAATTTGTATTCGTAAACCAGCATGGGATGTCTTTTCTTGAAAGCATTTTTGTTTATATGGCCAGACAAATGATAGATTCATCTCTGCTCCTGTTTGTTTCAAATAGTACGTGCTTTTTAATGGGACCCATGAAGCAGCTGAAGAAAATGTTTGAAACGACAAGATTGCTTGCAACAATCATCATGCTTGTAAGTAAACACTGACAATTCAAGCGTTTGGACGTGTCTTGCGTTACTGCTTTGCAGATGGTCGCCCGCCCTTCTGTCTGGACTGTTGTGTTTCTCTCGCTGCCTGTATGTCATCCTCACATCCCTAAGCCTGTGTGTCTGCGGGAGGTAGATGGTACAGCATCGCCTAAGTTGGCCGACTCGGTAAATCCCGCCTTCTGTTGCACGTGCTCCGGAGCTCCGTGGGTTCAAAGCGGAGCTGGGAGGTGCTTGAACGCTGTTTCCAAGCCCCGCAGAGCGCCTCTTACCGGATGTGTGTGCTCTCGGGGAGGTGGGGCTGGAGTACAGGTCTCCTCCGGGGCCACTGGAGTCCTCTCGGGGACGCTGGGCTCAACTGACGTAGCCGGTCGCCTGGCTTTGGTGCCTTCCCGTGTCACCGTTTGTACTCCCAACAGCATGGCTTCTGTGGCCGGACCTGTGAGTGTGCCGGGTCCCTGTCACCGGACTGTGCACGGCTGCCAGGTTGTCACCCTACACTTGGCGTTCTCTTTATCTGTGAACCGGGCGAGGGGCGGGTAACCGTTTTCACGTCGCACATTTTGGGCTCTCGGCTGACGTTTTGGGGCCCCGGGCCGAGGAACTCGAGTGTCCCTGTGTGCACTGAGCCCCCGGCTCCCAGCGTGTTCGTCTGTGTCTCTGGCGGCTTCCTCTTGCCTCTTTAACACACGTTGTGGACTGTAAGGTCAGTCGTATCGGCCGGTTTGTCCTTGTAACCAGTGCTAAGCTTCTAGATGCAGCTCATTCTCAACCAAAATGTGTGTCTCCTCCCGCCTCGTTACCAGAGGGAACACCTGTTTCAGACTAACTTCTCGTTCGTGTCCTTTTTCACTGTCGTCATAGTGTAGGACCGTATTTCCGATTTTTCCAGTTAGAATTTCGTGTGTTAGCACGTATAGCGATACTTTAACACTCAACTTTGTCTAGGTTACTGGGAAGTTATCTCATGCTGTTAGACCGTGAGAAGTTTATATTTTACTAGGATTTTTTGGAGACTGGCTTTGCGTAGAGTCTCCTGGAACCCGTCTTAGTCGTGTATAAGCATCAAGTGGAGAAGGCTGTGCAAACATTTAGAAATGTAGACCGTTTCCCAGAAGAGACCGTTAAGTATTTATATGACACAACTTCGGTGATGACTCCAGTCAGCATGTCCACCTGACTGTTCTGTGTGGTCTCATTTGCTGCTCACGTAAGGTTTTGCCTGATGATGGCCGTGCGCCCATCCGGCCACTCACGTGGCGTCTCCTCAGTGCCAGCCCCCACCTCAAGCACGTCACAGACCAGTTCTGCTTCGTTCATTGCCAGAGCCCTTCAGAGCATGTGGATAGACAGCGTCCTCATTTTCAAGAGAAGATTACTGGAGTCTGGACCGAATGACCGATTTAACACTCGAATCGTCAAAGCCTAGGGCTCTCTGTCCGCCAGCCTCCTGCTTGTCACTGTTGCTGTCACCTGCCCCTTGGGGGACCCAGGGATGTGGAGTGGTGCTGTCATCTTCTGCATGGAAATCATTACAGTAGATTCCTTCTGTAGAGTTAAGTAAAGTAGAATTACTGGGCGTCCCCAGTCGTACTAAGCAGTCTGTTGGCGATATTCTGTTACCAGACACAAACACAAGTGCTCGTAAGAACGGCTGTTGTCTGGGATTAAGAGGGTGGGTGTCGTGACGAGCACGGAGTCATGTGTAGAAGGGTTGAGTCCCTCTGTTGTACACCTGAAACTAATAGAACATAGATTTAATTATACAAGAATTGGAAAAATCAAAGATCAAATTAAAAGAACAGCTGATATCACTAAGCCATTCCTCAAACATCCTTTCCGTTGATTTGATCAACGGATTGTTCACTAGGAGCTTCCAGTTTGCCTGGGAACACTGCAGTCACGGACTTGAGGGGAGGATGAACTTGGCACGCAGTGTGGAACGTGGCTAGACTTGGCCGCGGCTCTGATCTTGTCCTGTAGTTTTATTATGCATGCAAATGATGCAGATTAGTTTATGATTTTTTTTAAGGTTTTGAAAGGACTCACATTTGCAATTTTTTCTTTCCTTTCCTATAGTTGTGTTTCATACTTACATTGTGCGCTGCTCTTTGGGTAAGTATGTCAGCTGCGCCTGCTTTCTGCTAACTGGCCCCTCACCGTCATGCTCACCCTGCTGTCCCAAAGGAGCTCAAAGTCTGCTTCTTGAAGCCCACAGAGGTTGGGTGTCCCTAACATTGTGTATCGTGACATGAGCTTAGTGGCTCCACTCGCGATGAACCCCGCCATCCGACACAGGCGGGCTCCTGTTTGCCTCTGGAGCACACTGACCTGACCCTGACGGCTCCTGGGCTCCCAGGGGCTCCTGCTGGGGTCTGTCTGCTCTCGTCTGCGGTGCTCGCGAGCCGGGCCATCCTATCCCCTGCGGCAGAGAGGAGGCTGCTGATGAGGGAGTGCGTTTCGAGTCGCAAGATGTCAAAACTAATAAGAAGAAAGGGCAAGAAAACAAACCAAAACAAATTAGCAGAAGGGGGCGCCCGGCCGGCCTGGTCGGAAGAGCGTGCGACTTGATCTTGGGGTTGCGACTTTGAGCCCCACGTTGGGTGCAGAGGTTACTTTAATTAATTAATTTTTAAGAAGATGTAAAATCGCTTAAAAAGGGTGGGCGGGCAAAAGAACTTCAATATACCTGTTACTGTTAAGGTGAACAGCTCTTCATTAGCCTGAAGTTCAGCACACTTTCCAGTGCTCCTGAGTCTTTATTCCCTTTATTTATTTGCCCCCCCCCCCCCA